TACCTCGGAGGGCGCTGACAAGTGCGGCCAGAACGGCAACCCCCCGTGCTCGCCCCAGCAGAACGCTTACAACGACGGTGTCCAGCTCGCCGGCGGCTCCACCGATACGATCTACAACTGCGTCTCGCTTATCTTCCTCGCGGTCCTCCCGTACCTCGTGCGCAAGTTTGGCGTCAAGAAGGTGCTCACGGTGGCCATCATCCCGCAAATCTTCCTCATCGCCCTCGCGTACTGCAAGGTCGTCGCTATTGACATGATCATTGTCATCGCCACCGCCTTCACCCAGAACACGATCCAGTCGCTCTTCATGGCTTGCATCATCCACGTCATTGGCAGCGAAGACAACTCGGGTCTTGGTCTCTTTGCCGGCGCGCTCAACTCGGCCTACTGCGCCGGTCAGTTCCTCAACTTCATCTTCTCGTCGATCCTCGTCCAGTCCTCGATGGGCTACGCGCTTCCCGTGCTTGTCGGCGGTATCCTCTCCACGATCGGTTTCTTCGTCTCGCTCTTCTTCTTCAAGATCGAACTCTACTCGACCTAAACCGCTTCACGCTCTCCGCTGTTTTATAATCTTTCAATACTAGTGTCGTTGTAGTTTTTACACATTGTTGTTCTATCTGGATTGACAATTCTGTACTGGCAAAGGCTAACCTGGTAACGACCGACTCGTGCTTCTAAATGTACCGCGCGATGGCCTGGGTCCAAACGATGTTTTGGAGCCAAGACATGCGTGACCAGGTCCGCAAGTGCGACAGATGCTCGCAACCAGCCGGCCAAAACGTACGGTCAGGAGCCGCAGTACAGTCTGCGGCGCTTGTTCTGCTTGATGACGAGGACAGAGCTACCTAGTTGAAACGAGGCGCTTTACGCAGGGCTAGCTAAAGTGGCGACGCGTGCTGCCTGCACCAAGTGTCCGCTAGACACGCCTCAGTGCGACACTATGCACCAATTCAGCTAACATAAAATCACACGCAACTAGAGTTCAGTGGTGCGTGGAACAGCGCTATAAACTCAATCGACTTTGGCGCGTAGAGGTTCGACGATTGTCCGTGGGACGCTTTGAATGAGGAAAAGCACAGGCGCTCGCAAAACCGTGGCGTCCCGTCGTCACAACAGCACAACGAGACCGCGTGTTTTAAGCTGCTACGAGTTGGAAGGAGAAAAGGTCATCGCGAGAGCCCTTTGTCGACGTCAGGGACGACGTGGCACCTAAATGTATGGGGTCGTCGACCGGGCGCTCGTACTCAAAAGGTGCAGATGGCGGATTCCCTGCGTCGAGAGGCAGGAGAATACTGCACGACAATGGGATTAGAGCGATGCTGCCAAAATCGTTTTGATTCCACTTGCAAGAGGCGGCCAGAGAGGCGGCCAGACGCTACAGCTGTGCACGGGAGGCAATGTCTCCTTGACACGCGTCTTCCTCGATCACAACCGAACGATACTTGTGAAAACAACCGCGTTGGTGTTCGCCATACCAGTGGTGCGCTAGCTTTATGACACTTCAGAATTGCTTGCTGGGCCTTGATTTTCTTGTCGCTGCTCTGGGCTGATAGGGTAACCAAGGAAGCTGATGGCCTTGGTGTAACCTTCGACGCTACAAGCCCCCACTTTAATTCACGATGAGTGGTTGACATTTAGTATGATTTGTTCAAAAACACGACACTCTTCACCAAGGCCGAAGGAGCTTCTTAGCACACGCCTTGGGTCTGGACGCCCGACTTGCGGTGCTCGAGGGTGTGGCCGAGCGCAAAGACAAACGCGTCAATGCTGATCCGGGCTTCTTCGTCGTCTTCGGACGTCGCGACCTGCTTGGCGACCTCGACGAGCTGCGAGTGCGCCTCGAGAAACTCGATCGCTTTCACAATGTCCTTGACGAGCATGTCGGCCATCGACTTGGTAAAGTTCTGCTTGACGACGACGCGCATGATGACGAGCGACTCGGCGCCCTTCGAGCACGTGTACGCGGGCACGATCCAGCCGCGCGACCGGAGCTTGTCCTGGATGTCAAAGCACGTAAACGGCTTGCTGCCCTCCTCTTCGTTGAGGCAGAACGCCACGAGCGGCATGTGCGCCTTGTCGACGATCGCAAAGTGCCCCGTCGCGACGAGGCGCTCGCGGAGGTACTCGGCGTTGTGCATGGTGCGGAGCAAGATCTCGCGGTACCCATCGCGGCCCA